CGTTTGGAGACCTCTGGGGCCGTCTCGGGGGCCTCTGGATCTATCTTGAGGCCTTCTTGGGATCCTCATGGCCTCCAGGACGGCGTTCAAGGCAGCCAAGATGACGCCAAGATGGCCTCAAGACGGCTCAAGAGGCTCCCAAGACAGCCTCGAGACAGATCAAGAAGCCCTCAGGACGGCACGACAGAGCTCCAAGAGGCTCTCCTGGAGAGCCCGAGGAGGCCAAAACCATTGATTGTCCTACGGTTTTTGAAAAATGTTGAGGTTCTCGCCTGTTCGGGCTTCCGACCACCCGGGACGGCCCAAGAGGCTTGCAGGAGGCCTCCCAGATAGCTCCAAGACAACGCAAGAGGCCCCCAAGAGGACCCAAAGGTCGCCCAAGGGGCTCCCAAGAGGGCCGCAAGACGGCCGTACACCGCTCCAAGCGGGCACCAACGCGGCCTGGAGGGACCCCCAAGGCGGCCTCCGTAGGCGTCAGACGGGCCAAGAATCCCCCAAGACGGCCCAAGAGGCCCCAGGGGGCCCTCAAGAGGCCCCCGAGGAGAGCAGTTTTTCACTCGCGGCGATAACGGGCGTTATGGGAGGGGAGGGGGGGGGCGGAGGGGGGCATACGCCACCCCCCCGCCGACTGGAGCTGGACGCACTGCGGCAATAAGGGGACGCACTGGGCGAGGAGGAGCGCCACATTATGGGGGGGGAGGGGGAGGTGGAGAGAAGAGGGGGGCATCACGCGCGTTATATACATATTTCTCTCTATATATATATATATTATATATATATATATATATATCGGAGGTGAGGGGGTGAGATCGAAGTGGAACGGAGAGCCCCCCTACCGGGAAATCGATTTCGGTTTCGTGTTCGTGCGTGCCATGCGTGCGGGCGAGGCGAAACTGCGTGGGCGGGCGAGAAGAAAGTCTCCTGTGGCTGAGGCGCGGCCGGACCAAATGTCTCCCTTCCGGGCGGCCCGGGGCCCGCGGTGTCCCGCCGGTGTCCCGCTGGTGTCCCGTGTGGCTGAGGCGCGGCCGGACCAAATGTCTCGCTTCCGGGCGGCCGGGGCCCCGCGGTGTCCCGCCGGTGTCCCGTCGGTGTCCCGTCGGTGATGATGATGATGATGATGATGATGATGATGATGATGACGATGATGATGATGATGATGATGATGATGTTGACAACGATGATGATGGTGATGATGATGGTGGTGGTGATGGTGAGTTCGGTAGTGAGATCAATAGTGAGACCGAATGTGAGATCTATTGTGAGATCGATTGCGATATCGATAGTGAGGTCGATAGTGAGACCCAATGTGAGATCGATAGTGAGATCGATAGTGAGTTCGATAGTGAGATCGATAGTGAGACCGAATGTGAGATCGATTGTGATATTGATTGTGATATCGATAGTGAGATCGATAGTGAGATCGAACGAGAGGTCGATCATGACTTCGATAGTGAGTTCGATAGTGAGATCGATAGTCATATCGATTGTGAGATCCATTGTGAGATCGATTGTGATATCAATAGTGATATCGATAGTGAGACCGAATGTGAGATCGATTGTGAGATCGATCGAATGAGATCGATAGTGATATCGGCAGTGAGATCGATCGTGAGTGAGACCGAATGTGAGATCGATCGTGAGATCGATAGCCAGATCGATTGTGAGATCTATTGTGAGATCGATTGTGCTATCGATAGTGAGATCGTTAGTGAGATCGAGTGTGAGATCGATAGCCAGATCGATTGTGAGATTGATCGAATGAGATCGATAATGAGATCGATAGCCGATAGTGAGATCGATCGAGTGCGACGGTGGTCCCCCCCCCCTCGCCTCCTTATCACCCGAAGGGTGGTCTATGCGGTATATACACACACACACACATACATTTACAAAAAAACGAGGTTTCAGAGAGCGGCTCCAAGGAAGCCCCAAGAAGGCCCCAAGAAGCATCATATTCCTCATCGTTTCCTCCTCCTCCTCCTCCTCGTCCTCCTCCTCCTCCTCCCCCTCCTGCTCCAGCTCCTCCCTGTCGCGCGGAGCGCGGACGGAGACGAGGTCGGGATCACAACCCGCCGCAGTGCAGACTACTCGTCGGCATTGCGCTGTTCTTACGCTCAGCCGTCTCCCTCCTGCGCTGATGCAAAGGCACGGTTGCGGGGATTGCCGCACGCAGCTTGAGATTACCCAATACAGGTTGCACCAGACATATTGCACAACATAGCTTGCATTACCTATCTTGATCGCACCACAATTAATGCTAGAAAACCACTGTGTGTGCCCACGACGGTTCACATGTATAAAACACTGCATGCATGCATGTATGTATGTCTGTATGTGTGTATGTGTGAATGTGTGTAGGTGTGCATGCATGCATGCATGTATGTATGTGTGTATTCATGTATACATGAATGCGCAGGTGGACGAATGTGTGTATGTATATATGGATGTATAGTTGGAAGGATGCGTGTGTATGTATGAGCGTATGTATGTATGGATGCGTATGTGTGTATGCATGTATGTGTGTATGCATATGCATGTATGTATGTGTGTATGTATGTGCATGTGTGTCTGTATGTATGCATACATGGTGTATGTGTATATATGCATGTATGCATGTATGGATGAATGCAAATGTGTACTATGTAGTCATGTAGGTGCGTATATGGGTGATTGTGTGTGAGTATGAATTCGTGGATGTATGTATGCGCGCACGCATGCATACATGTAGGGGTGGCTGTGTGATTGTGTGTATAGACGTACGTGCGTACGTGTGTATAAACACACATGTATACACATGTACATGAGTGTATGCATGTGTGTATGTATGTGTGCATGCGTGTGCGTATGCGTGTAAGAATGTATGTTTGTGTGTTCGAATGTATGTATGCCTGTGTTTACGTGTATACGTTTGTGTGTATGGATGATTGTGTGTATGTGTGGATGTACATATGTATGTATGCATGCAGGTAGGTAGGTAGGTATGTGTGTACGCGTGTGCGTGTGTGCGTGTGTATGTATGTACGTACGTACGTAGGTATGTAGGTAGATAGGTAGGTAGATAGGGTATGAAAACTCGTATGTGTTACCATACAGACATATAGTACATGGATAGGTGTATGCATATATTGAAAAGAATGTAACCTCAGAAATAGAAAGAAAAATGTAGCTTTACCGAGATATAAAGAAATTTCGAACCGCCGAGTGGGCCGACGACAACCAGAACTCCATGTATGTTGGCTTCGGCGGAACTACATTCCGTGCCTGGGTCGTGAACGAAGGGTCGCTGGAAGGCTTCCTGGAGGTTGTTGGGAGGCCTCTGACATGTGTGTGTGTGGGGGGGGGCCTCTTGCTGAGCTCTTGAGGCCTCTGGGCGCCTCTTGGGAGCGTCCTCGGGGGCATGCTGGGCGCTGCATCCGCCAAGACAGTGCCCCACGACACGTCTTGGCACCCTCTTGGGACTCGATGAAGGCTCGCTTAGGCCGACTTGGAAGCCTCTTGGGTCGTCTTGAGGCTCTCTGAAGCCGTCTGAGACCCCCTTGAGCTGATTTTGGGCCCCCTCCCGGCCCATCTTGGGCCGTCGCAGACGCTATAAAGATCCAAGAAGCGACTCCACTAAAAAAATGTAAGATCCCCTGGAGGACTGGGACAATTTTGACCTCCTGGGGCCCTCGTCAGGGGCCTGTTGGAGCCTTCTTGGGGCTTCTTGGGAAAGAGGCTTCTTGGGAGCTTCTTGCTTGGGAGCTTCTTGGCCCGTCTTGGGGCCATCTGGGGGCGCTTTGGAGCGCTCTTGGGACCCTTTAGGACCGTCTCGGAGGCCTCTCGGGTAGTCTGGCAGCCCATCTTGGGCGCACTGTGCTGTCGAGATGTCGAGATGTTTGGCATCTTGGGCGCTCTCGAGCTGTCTGGGCCCCTCCGTGGCCGCTGGAGGAGACTCTCCTCGGATGGAGCCACTACGCACAGGGAGGTCCCAGCCTGGGACCCCAGGCCCGGGATCTCCTGTGTGAATGTATGTGCAGATGTGCATGTGTATGAATATGTGTACTATCGGGGAGACGTAAGACTCGGGTACGGGGTACTCGGGTTGGCCTGACAAGGGCCATCATAAAAATGATGACACCCAATCTGAAATTTGACGCGGGCTCCCGCTGCAGACATCCCACGAAAACGGGATCGTCAAAATCCAGGACGCGCTCGTCAAAAAAAAGTCGGCAAACCCGAGTTCCGGCTTACTCGAGTCGTACGTTTCCCCAATACTATATTCATACATGTATGTATATATATATATATGTACATGTGTAGCAACTGCCATGTGGCTTCATCGGGTGCATGGAACCCTGTCTTCTTGCATCTTCGAAATAACTCTCTCTATATATATATATATATATGTATAAGAAAAAACTGGCGGGAGTGTGCTGCGGTGCCGCTGCATTTCGGCCTCAGACTCCGACGACCCATCTGGTCTACCCACAAGCCACGCAGCGTCAAGTCACATCTCCGAGGGACACGATTTGTTGCTGGACTCCACTGGTCCAGGCAAGGACTGTTACCACGGAGGTTTTATGGTCCCTCAACAGGGCAGCGAAAAGATCCACGAGTAGCACTGCCGTACTTCGACCATATGTTTACGACGTGGTCATGTTGAGTTGGCACTCGCCCGGTATATTTCTTTAGTTAAGCCTGGCGGCGGGCACCTCCGCACCCGCGCGCAGAGGGAAGCGCGGGATAAAGGGATGAAGAAACGGCATGCAGTAGGGGCCCGACCACAAGAAACCTGCCACAAGAAACCCAACCCTGAAGCCCCAGGTCGTACATCGACTTTTTGGTGTGGGAACGTCACGCTTCCCGTAGCAAATCCATCGAAACCCAAGAAACCCAAGGCACCCTGGAGGCAAGCAGGGTGTTTCTTGACATGGGGACTCCACTGTGAGAGGAAAAGACCGAGGGATGATCAGCACTGAAGGACAGAATGGCTGCAGAGCGCAAGAGGGTGAACGCCCGTCCTTGGCGGACGCGTCGGCGAGCCAGTCCGAGCAGGCACGAGCATCTTCTGGCAGGACTGGGTCCCCGAGAGGCTCCAGCACCTGAGGGTGGAGGAGGAGGAGGAGGAGAAGGAGGAGGAGGAGGAGGAGGAGGAGGAAGGAGGGGGAGGAGGAGGAGGAGGAGGAGGACCAGTGCAAGCCCAAGTGTCATCAACGATGTTGGAATAAGCCCGCCCTCCAAGCTCCCTCGTCATAGGCCCCTACAACGATTCATTTTCCATTGATGGAACTGCCTCGTTGGAAGACACCTGTTTGAAGACCCTGAAGCATGCCAAACATTGTCCTCGGGATTCCAACGCCACGGATCAACCTGACTGTTGCGTCTTGACGATCCTGACTCACGCCAGAACGCCACTCCTAGGACTCCAACAAAAAGAATATATGTAACTGTTGCACCCGCGTAATCCTGAATCCTTCCAAAACAATATTTCTGGTACGTTGGTGATGGGAATCCGTGACACTCTTGAAAATGTTGCAAACGGATGTGCGCGGCGCTAAGGCGAGAGCCACATTTTGAAAATGAACCGCCCTCAATCCGCGAAACTCTTGACTTTTGTTAATAAATGAATATGCGCGCCGCTAAGGCGAGAACCACATTTTGAAAACGACCCGCCCTCAATACGTGATAGCGCTGCAAATGTTTAAAAGAATGTGCGCGGCGCTGAGGCGAGAACCACATGTTTAAAACGGCCCGCCCTCAATCCGTGAAATATCTGCAAACGTTTAAAACGAATGCACGCGGCGCTGAGGCGAGAGCCACATTCTGAAAGCGACCCGCCTTCAATCCGTGAAACTCTTGCAAATGTTCAAAACGAGTGCCACGCTAAGGCGAGAGCCATATTTTGAAAACGGCCCGCCTTCCATCTGTGAAACCGTTGCCAATGTTTAAGCTTCAGAGCCATCAATGGTGAGGAAGTCTTAGGCGAAACGCCCAGCCCGCCCTAAAAACTGGCTTCGGGGTGCGACAGGGAGAAGCTACGCATTAGAAGGAAAAGGAATGGAGGAGGAGGAGGGGGAGGAGGAGGAGGAGGAGGAGGAGGAGGTGGAGGTGGAGGAGGGTGGAAATTGACTTAGGGAAATCACAAGGAAGGTACCCATGCCGCTACTCCGCGGACCTATCCCAGGGTGCGTTCTGACCAGAGTTTCGAAGCGAATCCAGCCGTGGCGGCGAGAACCTCCCAGGAGGCCCTCAAAGGGGAAACGAGAGAGAGGTAGCAGTGTCGGTGCCTTGTCCCTCCACTGACGAGCGGCGGCACGGGCGCCGCAATCGCTGCGTGAGTTTTTGGGGGGGGCGCAGTAACAGCCACACGGTTCCGTGCTGGCCCTGTCAGCTCGCGGCGCGCCTATCGTTCGCGTCACGACCCAAGTGGGAAGTTGTTGCGCAGAAGACCCACCACCCAAGCGAAAGGGGCACTACGCAGAGCTGTACCGCACAGGTCGAAGCAGCGACCCAAAAGCACAGTCGCAACGCAATAGTAATCGTTGCGTGAGTTTTGCCCCTATGAGACGTTCAGGACCCAGGTAAGTCACACAACGAGTGCTCACGGCATTAGTCCTCGGGGCCTGACGGGATCCGAAACCGCTGGGAAACGTACGCAAACCTTCGATGGCGACGTCGGCGCACGCGGCAAAATGCACGTCGTGCCTGGAGGTCAGCGGACTTCGCGCACCGCGCCCCGCCATGCGCCACCCGCGGTCGTCCTCGCGCCCTCGTGCGGCCACCCTCGAGACGAGAAGGGCGCTCTGCCCAGGCCAGGCCGCGACGCGCGAAGCGCGATTGTCATCGCGCCCCGGGGGAGAACGTGGATGACCCAAACAGGCTGCAGGGCCAGACAGCATCGCATCGACAAATCGCATCGAATCGACAGGTGCGTCGGATCGGGCCGCACCTGCACGGCGTCGGAATCGTGCCGCATCGGCCGCGCCAGGATGCACAACGGCGCCACGCGGGGCATCGGGCCGCCTCGGATCGCCCGGAGCTTTTTCCGCTGGCGGCGAGGCAGAGGCAGTCCGCTCCAGCGCGCGGCTACTCGGGGCAACCGAAAGGCGAATTGACCAGCGTGCAGGAGGGAGGAAAACGAGGAGGACTCGGATCGCCGAAGCACGTGGGAATCGAGTCGGACTGGGCCGGCCGGGACCGGCACCGAATCGGGCCGCTCTGATCGACGTGGACCCCCAGACATGCGACGCCCAGATGTTTCCAGCACGGCGCCCCCGGAAGTCCAGACCCTGTCCGCGGGGGCCAGTTTTTCATCCCGCGTCGATCTGGGCGACCCAAAAGGGGGTCCAGCTGCAAGGGGGTGGTGCAATAGGTTTGGGACAATTGTATTGCAAACGTACTGCGCCGGAGAATTGTGTTGCATTGTATTGCTAATGTATTGCACGCGAAACTCCAGCAGTACATTTGCGCCCCGGAATGCATTACACGCCCCAAATGCATTGCAACCCCACACATCTATTGCACCACACCTATTGCACCACCCCCTTGTCGCTGGACCTCCTTTTGGGTCAACCCGCGTCGATTTTGACGGTCCTGGGGCGCGGCGAGGGCCACCTCCTCCTCCTCCTCCTCCTCCTCCTCCTCCTCCTCCTCCTCCCGCCCCCTTGCCCCTTGCCCCTCCTCCTCCCGCCCCCTTGCCCCTCCTCCTCCTCCTCCTCCTCCTCCCGCCCCCGCGGGGCCTCCGCGGGGGCCGAAGATTGCGAGAGAAACCTCCGTCCCGAATTTCCCCTTCGGCGCGAGCGTGCCCGGGCCCGGAAGGCGAACACCCGCAGATCGCCCCCGCGCGTGAGCGGCCCGGCGGCTCGGTGGCGGGGCCCTGGCTGTGGTTGGCGTGTCCTTGTTCGTTTCTTGTTGTTGCCCTCTTGTTGTCAGCGTTGTGTTGTTAGCTTGTCCTTGGTAGCTTCTTGTTGTTCGCTTGTTGTTGTTTTTGCTTGGGGCCGGGCAGGGGGGGGGGCCGGGGCAGGGGGAGGGGGAGCGAGCGGGGACGGGCAGGGCGGGGCGGGGCAGGGCGGCCACCGGTTGAGGAGCGGCGAGGAGCAGCTGTTTCGGAGAACGCCTTGTTGTGTCAGATCTGCAGCCAAAAACAATGGAAAAGCGCTGCGACTTTTGTGCAGATGCAGCAGATGGTGATGCCCGACCACATGTCAAGATCTGCCGATTGCCGTGGATCCCCTCCGAAAAAACAGCATGATTTGTACTCTGGAGGCCGTGGGGGCCTCCCTTGGGCATCCCGGGGGGCACCCTGGGCCAGGGTCAGGTCGGGCATGTCCTCCTGCAGGCGGATTCTAGAAAACACATGAGAAACAGTCAACAGGATCTTCTAAAGTACAAACAAGAACAAAAACAACAAAAACAAAAAACAAAACCAACAAACAAAAAAACGAAAAGTCTTCCCCAGGTAATATTGTTCTAACTATTTTTTGATATTCCTCTGTAGAGGGACGTGCCCGATATAAGGACAGGGGTACTTCTGGCGACGGCCGCGGGAGGCTGACGGTCAGGGCCGCGCGCCCGGGCCGAGGCACGCAGCCGACCGCTGGCGTTGTTGCCCAAGGCCGCTTCGCGTCGCGTCGGACCTGGAGTCAAGTCGGGCGCGTCCCTCTCCAGGAACAATAGTCAAAAAATAGCCTGGGGACGTTTCTTGATTACCTGTGGACCATGCTTTTGCATCTGTGTTGGCTATGTTTCGCTTTTCTTCCGAAACCCGCCTGTGAGAGGACATGCCCGATATAACCCTGGCGCTGGTTCCTGACACCGCTGGGGTCCCTCAACCTTGAAGGATCGGCCAGTTTCGGAGGCGCGCAAACATGGATTAGCGATCCATGGATTTGGCGCGCGATCGCCAAATCCATGGATCGGGGGAGGTGCCCTCGCCACAATGCGGCCAGTGCCGCCTCGCTCGGCGGCGGAAATCCGCGATTCCCCATGGAAACGGGACCCGTCGCTACTCCACGCCCCCTTGATCCATGCTTGCGATCGCCTGGCAGTTCAGAAATGTCGGACCTTTCCACGATGGGCCGATTCTGGGTCGCCGGCGGCGTGGAACGTGGAGCGCTGGCGGCGGGGTCGCCGCCGGTCGACACGCCGCGAGCCTACCGCAGCGACCCTGAAGAGGAGGGCGGAGATAGGGGCCTCCTAGATGGAGTCCGAGCAGACGGGGTCGAAGGATCGCGTCGCATCACCGATGCATCGCCGATGCATCGGCGATGCATCGGCGATGCATCGAAGACGCCAGCGTGGGGAAACACGGGCTCCACATCGAGCCACATCGTGGATGCATCGGCGATGCGGCGCGATTCTCCGACCCCATCTACTCGGACCCCATCTAAGACAGGGCTGAACCTAAACGGCGCTTTTCGTGTTCGCGCTACTTTCGTTGTCCCTCGTCGTGTCTTCAATCCGCCTTTCACGCAAAACGAAATCGAAACGAAAACGGCCCACGAAATCGCCGAAACACCGCTTAGGTCCACCCCTGCTCTAGAAGGCCTGGAGGAGAAGAAGCGGGAGCGGGAGGGAGAGGGCCACAGGAGGGGGAGGAGGGAGCAGGACCAGAGCAAACTCAAGGTGCATCCAGTGCTGCAGTACACCCTTGAAGGGGCCCTGGGACACACCAATAAATAGACACAAGTAACAGGATTCCCCACACTTTCCCATACTTTCTGGGTTTTTGTCTTTCCACCCACACACTTCCCATATTTTCCCATATTTTCTTGGGAATCGACAAGTAATTGTGCCTGTGTTTTTCCCCCTCCTGAAGTACACCCTGCCGTCCCAAGTCCCCCCCTTCGCACGTCCCTACGGCAGGTTGGCGTCATGACGACCACGGCGTTGGTTTCTGACACCGCGGGGATTGTTCAAACTTGAACGATCTGCCGTTTCATGAACGCCAGATCGTTCGACGACTGCCCGATTCTGGGCCACGGGCGGCGTTCGACTGTAACGGCCCGCGCTGGGGTCGCCGCCGGTCGGCACGACGCGAACCCATCGTGCAAGTCTTCCTATAGGAGGCCCGGGAATGGGTACCAACATCAACACAGGGGGGTGCCTCCACTGGGGGAAGATGATCCTAGATTTCGGCGTTGGTGGTAATATTTCGGTTACCTTGGAAGCCAGAATATTACCACCATCACCGAGATCGGGATCCTTCTTCCCTCGGCGGATGCACACCGCCGATATTGGTGTTGGTGTCAATCTCTAGGCTTGCGATCCTAATTACTCACTGCAAGAAGCGCTCCCCTTCAGAGACGAACACCGTTTTGGGCCTGCCGTCTTGGCGGGGGCCCCGCCCCGAGCAGGAGCTGCCTGAAGCATCCTCCTGGAGCGAGAGGCGCAGCCGCGGCGACGCGGCAGGGAGCACGAGGAGGATGGGAAAGAACGAGGAGGAGGAGGAGGAGGAGGGAGGAGGAGGAGGAGGAGGAGGAGGAGGAGATGGATGAGGAGGAGGAGGAGGCGGAGGATGGGAAAGAGGATGGGGAGGAGGAGAACCAGTGAGGGAGAGGCGCGCGGAGACGAAAACCAAAGAGGAAGGAGCAAGGGATGAGCCGGAGTCGCTGGACGGGCACCTGCGCACACGGATCACAGCACAGGCCCACGGATCGGTAGTAAAGCACCCCCCGATGCATGGCACCAGTGCTGCCTGATCTGGCGACGGAGCACGTCAAACTTGTGTTAGGTCAGGCATGTCCTCCTACCGGAGGATTTTGGACGAAGAATTACAAACAGTCGAAAGATGCCCCAAAGTGGTCCAAATCGATAGCAAAATCGTCCCCAGACCATGTTTTGACTGCTTTTGAATATTCCTCGTGTAGAGGGGCACGCCCGACTTAAGACCTGTGTGGACACGGGACCCGTCGCCTATCTAGGGAGCCCACAAAGGACGTACGCGCCCAGCTATGTACATGAGCACGACCGGCCGCGCGATACGAACTTTCGGGCAATGCGTACTCTCGAAACCAGCGTGGATTCATGTACGTGTACGTCCTTCTTTCGCTCCTGACTATCCGCGCGCCTCCACCCGTGTCGGTGCTGCCTCGCGAGGGGCGGAGCGCCGCGCTCTCCTGGGCGTGCTAGAGGAAGCCCAGGATCCCCGATCGGCGATGCACGGGCGAGATTCGGGGGGTCGATGCTCACCCTTAGGTCGGGCCTGTCCCCCTGCAGGCGGACTTTGGGCGAAGAATTAAAGATAGTCCAAAATATAACCAAAATGCTTTTACAAAAAGAATCAAAGAATCGTTCCGAGACTATTTTCTGGCAATTCTTGAATATTCTCCCTGTGGAGGGACACGCCCGACTTCATGCTTACCCCTGGGGGCCCATCCCCCCCTCGGCGTCGGGACGAAGGAGGAGCAGGAGGCCATCATCGACCAGGTGCTCTACGAGGACGGCCACGACGTCGTGCGGGAGGACTTCGAGGGCCCCGGTGGCGGCTTCGGCCTGGCGACTGGGGAGGCGGCGGCGTCGGCCCTGACTTTGGCGGTTGGGGCGGCAGCGACGGCGATGGCGGTACCCCCCGAGCTTGGTGTTCGGGCCAGAACTCGGCTCTCCGGCGGCGGTTCGGGGCGATCCGGGCAGCCCCCCTCGAAAGCTGGGCGAGGGCTGCCAGAACCGTGGCTGCTAAAACGGCCCTCCCAGGAAAAAAAAAAAACAAAAAAAAAAAAAAAACTTCCCGGAAGGAGGCGCGGCACGCGAAACCGTCCACGGGCTTCTTCCCGGAAGGACGAAGACAACTTCCCGGAGGTCGATTTTAGCAGCCACGGACCCTGAGATCCGATGTCGTGATTTTTTCACTACGGGGTCCCTGGAAGTCTCGACCCATTGCCCAGGACCGGTGTTTCATCCTGAGTTGACGGTCCCGAGGCCCGGTAAGGGCCCCAAGAGGCCGAAAACTGTAAAAAACTTCCGTCGTGATTTTTTCAATACGTTGGCTCTCTGGGGATTTCGCAGCCCTCGCCCGGCTTCCGACCCCCCGCCGCCCCCGGGAGGCGGCGCAGCTGCCGGAGAGCACCCCCCGAGGCCGGGAGCCCGACGGGAGCCTCGAGCCCCGACCCGCCGAGGGCCTCGAACCTCGGACCCAAGAGAGGGCCTCGAGAGCCTCGCACGGAGACGCCCGAGAACCTCGGGGGCCACTTGCGAACCCTACCCCTGCCCCCCGGCGCTTTCTGCGGGGGAGGGTGGGGCTCACTTCCCTCGAGAGCTCCCGCGCGAAGTGAGCCCCACCCTCCCCCGCAGAGAGCGTGGGGGGGTGGCCCCCGAGAACATCTCGAGCCTCGGCCCCGAAGCGGCCCCGCCCCCCGCGGCGTCGCCCCCGGCCACAGCGGGCAGGGAGGGGCCAGGGTGAAGTCGGGCGTGTCTCCCTGCGGCGGGATGCTCGCCCAAAGCCGCCGAAACTGCTCGAAAAGTGCCCCAAAAGGGTCAAACAATCCCAGAACATGCTCGAAGAGTGCTCCACAGTGGTCCCAAAAAAATGCTCCAAAAATAGCCCCCAGAGCCCCAGACGATCTTTTGGCTACTTTCGAACATTCCCCCTGTAGAGGGACAGGCCCGACTCCGAGCCAGGGCCGGAGCGCCCGCGCCCCCGCGCGGGCGGGCGGGCGGGGGCACCGCCGCCAGCGACGCGTTGTCCCGGAAGGCGCTGCCCACCCCGTCCTCCCCAGGGGGCGGAGAGGGGGGCGGCGTAGAGTCGGTTGGAGGGAGAGGGGGAGAGAGAGGGAGAGGGAGGGAGGGAGGGAGGGAGGGAGGGAGAGGGAGGGAGGGCAGGGAGGGGCAGAGGAGGGAGGGAGGGAGGGAGGGCAGGGAGGTGGGGAGGGAGGGAGGGGCAGGGAGGGCCAGAGGAGGGGCAGAGGAGCACAGAAGGGTCCCGCCGGAGCACGAGGGCGAGAGTGAGAGAAAAATGGCGGCGGGTGGGGAAAGGGAGGGTTGATATGGATTCGAACTGGCTCACTGGACAAATACATTCGGCCTTGATTGGACGGGGCACGCGAGAGGAAACAAGACCCTTCCGAGGGCCACATCGCCATAGGAGTGTACGAAGGCACGCGCCGCGAGGCACAGGACACGAGGGTACCCTTGAGCTGGCGGGGTCGACCTACTAATCCGGGCCGACTGGAAGGGTTGCTGTTGTTGTTCAACGCTGGCCTTCGCTTTCGCGTGCTCCGAACCTTCAAGGCTGGCTGGGAGGGTGGCGATCCGGACCTCACGAGGATCCGCCACTTTCGGCACCTCCCAGCCAGCGCTCGAGAGAGAGGGGGAGACGAGGGGGAGGCGGTGGCGCACGAAGGCGGGACCCGAACAAAGACGGCACCCCGCCCTGCCGGCCGCTATCTATATATATATATATATATATATATATATACATGTACATATATATATATATATTTGTGTGTATACACATACATGCATATAGATACATATATGCATACATACATACATACATACATACATGCATGCACGCATGCATGCATGCATGCATGCATGCATACATACATACATGCATGCATGCATACATGCATGCATGCATACCTACGTACATACATACATACACGCATTACATTACATTACATTACGTTACGTTACGTTACAGCACAGTACAGTACCTTACATTACATTACAATAAATTACATTACATTGCATTGCATTGCATTGCATTGCATTGCATTGCATTGCCTTACATTGCATTACATTACATTACATGACATGACATTACATTAGATTAGAGTACATACCTACATGCATAAATACATACATACATACATACATACATACATACATGCATCCATATGTATATATATATACACACACCAGGAGTGCTGGCGCGGGTGTTGCGCGGTGTGTGCGCTGCAGCGCCCGAGGGGCCGCAGCGCCACGTGGAGGGCCGCAGGTTGAGGTCAGGCATGTCCTCCTCCAGGCGGAGTGTAAAGTTTAGAGGAAAAATGAAAAAAAATTATAGAAAAGATTAATTATTTCCCTACCGATTAGCATGATTCAATGCACCTGTAGCTATTCCCGAACTTCATTTTGACTAGAAATTCGTTTTCTGTATGGATATTCATGGTTTTGATCAGAAATTCAATTTATAAACGATTAATTCGCAATTTTGCAGTTTAATTGATTAATGAATAATTTTGGATGATTATTTACAGACAAAAAATCGCGGTTGTTTACGCACAAATAACCGGCACGTGCAAATTCCATGGCCCCCAAGATGGCCCCCAAGATGGCCCCGACAGGCCCCCATGGGGCCCCCAAGAGGACCCAGGCGGCTCCCGCGAGGTCTCCAAAAGGCTTCCAGGAGGCCTCCAAGAGGCCCCCAAGACCCCAAGGGGCATCAGGAGGATCCCCGCGGCACCCAAGACTCTCAAAAACACCACTGGGCCTGCCAAGAGGCCCCCCAGACGCCCTAACAGGCATGCAAAAAGCGTCTAAGAGCCATCCGAGGATACTACGATAGGCATTGAAGATGCCTCTGGCTATTCTGCTCGCCCTGTTCCTCCTCCTCGTCCTCCTCCTTCGTGTCCTCCCCCTTCTCCTCGTGCTCCTCCTCCTCCTGCTTTCTCTTCTTCCTCCGATTCCTCCTCCTCCTCCTCCTTTTCCTCCTCCTCCTCCTCCTCCGTGCTCTCCCTTTTTCCCTCTCCCCCCCCTCCTCCTCCTCCTCCTCCTCCTCCTCCTCCTCCTGCTCCTACTCCTACTCCTACTCCTACTCCTTCTCCTACTCATCATCATTCTCCCCGCCCCCTCACGCATCCATCAATCCAGCCTCCTCCTCCTCCTCATCGTACTTCCTTGGCTCGGTTCAGCTGTCGCCCTCTTTATTCCCGCACTTCCCTAGACACCTCAACTCGCCTGGGCGTCGTTTCTGGATGGGCTGGCGCCGATGCGCGAAACGTCAACAATTTGTTCTCTGACAGTCGCCACGCTAATCCAAGGTTGCGAGCGGGCCCCCCTTCGGGAGCTCTCGGCGCTGGCTTCGAACCGTTCTGAGTGCCTCGTGGGCCGCCGGGCCGTTCTGGAGCTCTCTGGAAGTCTTGGCCCTTCCGTGCTGTTTTGGGAAGTCTTTCAAGGCGTTTCGGGGGCAGTCTGGGGGCCCCGTCGGGCCGCCGTAAAGATTTCTTGGGGCGCACGGGGCCAACTCATCGGAGTGCCGTGCGAGGCCGTCGCGAGTCTCTCTTGGGCCGCTCTGGGCACGGTGAGAAGGGCGATGGCGCTTTTCCTCGGAGCCTCTGCAGTGCGTCAAGAAGCCCAAGCCGAAGCGGCCAAGTCCAGCCCTAGATCAAGGTTTCCCCTCCAGGGCGCCGCAAGGAGCAGCGTCTGCAAGAGAACCAACAGCATCGGCGCGCATGTGCAGCACCCTGCCAACGAGCGCCACACCTCGACGCTGCCTTCCCCGTCTGCGGGAATCCCGGCGGCGGCAGCCAGTTCGCGGCCGATCAGCACGCGGCCCGCTCGGCCGCCTGGAAGAGGTCAAGGCAAACAACAGGGGCACAGGAGCACGGGCGCACAGGGGAACAGGGAGAGAGAGAGAGAGAGAGAGAGAGAGAGAGAGAGAGAGAGAGAGAGAGAGAGAGAGAGAGAGAGAGAGAGAGAGAGAGGAAAGCGAAGAGAGAACACAAAAAAAAACAAGAGAGAGAGAGAGAGAGAGGGGGAGAGAGAGAGAGAGAGAGAGAGAGAGAGGAGAGAAGATAGAGATAGAGAGATAGGGAGAGAGAAGAGCGAGAGCGAGGAAGAGGAGAGAGAGAGGGAGCGAATAGAGAGAGAAGAGAGAGAGAGAAAAAAAAAAGAAAGAAATAAAGAAAGAAAGAGAGAAAAGGAGAAAGAAGGAGAGAGAGGAGAGGAGAGAAAAGAAAGAAGAAAGAGAGAGAAGAGAGAGAGAGAGGGAGAGAGAGAAGAGGAGAGTAGGAGGAGAGAGGAGAGAAGAGAGAGAATAGATAGAGAGGAGGGGGGGGGGAACAAGGAGAGAAAGAGAGAAAAGTAGAGGGAGAGAGAGAGAGAGAGGGAGGAGAGAGAGAGAGAGAGAGAGAGAGAGAGAGAGAGAGAGAGAGAGAGAGAGAGAGAGAGAGAGAGAGAGAGAGAGAGAGAGAGAGAGAGAGAGAGAGAGAAAGCCCAGGATAGAGAACGCCGTGAAGGGTCGGTTTGCCCTGGCGGCCTGAACCAGAGAACCAGAATTCCGAATTGCCCCGCAATGGGCCCGCCAGCAGCGCCCCTGGCGGCAGCGGCTGCCTGGCGCCCAGGCCCGCGGACAGGTCCACGACGAACCCGTGGCCCCTGCACTCCGCCGACGCAAGAGCGAGCAAGATCTTCTTCTTGTCGTCCAGGACGCGGAACCATCGGCTCTCGCCGAAAAGAGCGTCGGCCGCAGCCACGGTCGGCATCTTCACCTGGTTCCGCAAGCATTACTCGAGGATGCCCTTCTGCCAGCCCACTGGCAGGGCGCGCGTTTGAACCGCCTCCCGCTGCAGAATGGCATCGTCGATGTAGTCCGACCACACCGTCGCCGAAGCCTCCGCAAAAGCCTCGAAGGGAGGGCCGCGGATCTGCCGTGCCTCGACGCTCTCTGCGAACACGGAAGAACTCAGTCCCCGACTCCATGTTCAACAGGGCGCCCCCGCGCGCCGCCAACAGCCACCTGCTGCACTTGCTGAAAGGCGCGCCGTAGTCCGCCGAGTCCACGACGAAGGTCAGACACTGCCACTCGTCGGTTTCCTGCAATTCGTCGTGCGGGATGCTCTCCCCCGGCCCGTCCGTGCTCTCCACGAGAACGAGCTCGCTGTTCTGCGCCGCACACTGCAGGAGAATGCTGGCCGCGCTGGCGCCGCTGGCCCCCGGGCGCCTGAACGAACAGCTCCCCAAGAGCAAGGCTGGGCCCCCCCTGGCGCGCGCAGCAGCACCTCTGGGGAGGCCGCCGACGCCCCGGATTCCGTCGTCCACGCTCCGCCCAGATCCGCCTAACGGCGCGCACCACCTCGCGAACACTTCAGCGCGCTGATTCGCCACGGTGCTCTTAGCCGCGTCCGTGCGGCAGTGGGCAGCGATGCGAAAACCCTCCGACAAGAGACCGTGCTTCTGGAACACCCTCTGCAATTCCGTGAGCACGGGCGCCGCGACGAGCATTCCGTCGCCAAACGCCGCCACCGAGAGCGCCTGGGGCATCGATTCCGTGACGTACGCGGCGTGCTCTTTGAGGACGGGGGTCCACCCACTCCCCGAAGAATCGCAGCGCATGTCCACTAGCAACCGCGGCTGCATCGATCGCCTTCGGGGCTGGCCAAGCTGGCAACCAGTCATCTCCGATGACCTCGGGGTCTTCCTCGCGCGGCTGCTCCTCCTCTCCGAGCTCGCCGCCGTCGCCGCCGCTCTCCTCGGCAAGCTGGCGCAGGTCGTCAGCCTCCGCCTCCACGTCCGCGGCCGCCGCGTCGGCCTCTACTTCCGACGACGCCTTGCCGCGCCCCTCGCTCACTGCCCGACACTCTCGGTCGCCGCCGCCAGCGGCGCCCTCGCGACGCACGGGGTCTGCCGAGGCGTCGTCTTCGGCGCGCCCAGCAGCGCCAGCTTCCGGCAAACCTTCCAGCGGCCCTCGAGCTTCCTCCTCGCCCGCTGCCACAGCCGCCTCCGCGGCTTCCCTGGCACTCGAAGCGGCCGCCGGCCGCCGAAGAG